GAGATAATTACATGCATTAAATATTATTTTGCCTCGTTCAGATTTAAAGAAAAAGGGCAAAAACATGTACCTGTAGCACCTGGAAGTTATTGTGTTAAAACCCCATGTCCCTTGCATAATTGATTAAAAGCAATCTCAGCTTCCGATTGCAGCAGAGGCGATCAGTTCTTTTCTCCTCCAGATGGCGCTAGTGTACGGTCTGGTTTGAAAACTTACAAACACTGCTCAGATCAGGGAATTATATCCGATATAATTCCCTGCTCAGATGGGGCGGAGAAGTGGACCATATACGGAATGCCTGTGATCTACATGATGTCATTTGTAGGTGGGTAAGCGTACGTGATTCGTTCACATTTGCCATTAAGTGGAATACAAATATAGGCCGTATATTTTTATTTTATTTTTATTTTAATATTATATTGCCTCAAAGCTCTACAGCAATCTGTTTCGCTCTTTTCACTGTCATTCATCCACTAGACAGGGGAGAATATACGGGAAAGTCCAGTGTGATGACTTCATTCTGCTAACTTTTAGAGTACATGCAAATGACTGAATTCGTTGCATGCTGTTGACTCCATTGTATACGTCCGAATCTAATATGTTACTGCCGAGGCCTATAGCTATAGTTACAGCTACCATATTCTGCTCACGCTTACTATAATAATTTACTACTAACAATTTTATTGTGATACAAAACCCCAATGTTCGTCAGTGGAGACAACTCTCCAGAAATAAATTTAAAAAAAAACAAAAAAAAACAATCTAATTATTAAGTTGTTTTCTGCACTACAGTCGCAAGTTGTTTTCTGGAACTCGATTTTCTGTACTACAGCCATTGCAAAGTAACGATAAATACACAATGTACCTTTAAATTATTTTGGAAAAAATTGAATGCCACAGTGCAAGTCGTAAAGTATATATCTTCTTCATGGTGAGAGAGAAATATATTTCCTATTTGTACATGTATGATACAAACAATATCATAAAAATCTTCCAAATGTAAACACCAGTGCTGAATAAATTAAGTTTGTTAAATGCTGTAAAACTATGAGCGTGCAGTTAAAATCGGGGCCATGTAACTGGACGTAAGCATTTTTTTAATCATATTGGTAAATGTACATGTATTTTACACGTTATTTCTTACATCAGTCTGCATAATTGCAAATGTGAAACACATGGCGACCCCATGGCACTGAAGTACGTAGACTGTAAATATAAAAGAGGTCCTAAAACATTCGGTCAGTTTGCAGATGGCAAGGTGGAAGTTGATATGTGTTGTTTTGTGTATTTTGAAGGCTTCTTTCAACTCTGTCACGTTATATGGATGGCCAGCCTTCATGTACATATTCATAAAGGGAATGTTTTAGTATTCATAGATGGAATGTCGATTATGTAACCAGCGTTAGTTATAACTTGATGCGTTCTGATTGCAGTGGTATTGTTAACTACACGCAAGAAACAGTCGTAGAGGACCGCGTTCAGGGACGCAGGGACGAAGCGTAGGGAGGCGTGTGAGAGGCCGGTCGTTCAAGACGTGCATGTTCACCTATCTTAGTATCACACTTCTTATGTCTTCTGCTAACACAATCACCCTTCCACCCAGGACAGGACGACAGCGAGAATAATCTTTCACTCTTTTGCTCTGTGTTGAAAACTGGGAGTTTTGCCGTACATTCGGCATTCGTGATATCTGCGTTAGTGAATTTCATAATCCGTTCTCAGAACTTGATTCTACTGACTAAATGTGAAAATGTTAATCTGTTATAACCTTCTTACCCTCAACCAAGAGTTGCAGAAGCAAGATACGTTTTCGCTACTTTCCAATATATGTGTGGTAAGGCTGAGACCTACAATACTTTGAAAATGCACGTTGACAAATGGATACATTGTATCATTAAAACAGTTGAATTACAGGTTTCCGTAAGAATATTTTAACAAGGCATTTGGAATACAAGTCATCATCAGTAGTTTGCTAACCCTTATTGAATTAACAATATTTTTTTCTGAAACAAGCACAGTTTATGCAGTAACCCATTCTGGGTATGTATAACAACCATTGTTGGTATGGCATTGTGTGTTCAGTAAGGATGGAGTAAGAATACAATAGGTTATGCTTAAAGCGTGTGACTTCATCGTTGTACTTTATTATCCAATATACTTGACGATAGGCTTTCTGTTGTTTGGAAGGAAGTGTGGAAATAATACCTTAGAGTACATGTTGACTGTGGAAAACGAATGGCAAAATTCAAAATTAAAATAAATTATTTTGATAAGTTATACCTTTGACTAAATTACCATTTTTTTTTGGGGGGAGGGCATATTATAAATGTAATTTTTTTTACATGAAAGCACAGTCAATGAGACGACATTTACAGTAAAATTGTCAATTAATATTTTTATTCTCATTTATTTATTTATTCATTTATTTATTTATCATCGTTTCATTTTATTTCATTTTTGCAGTTGGGAGTACTGTTCCTTGGAATATGCTTTATTGCCAGCGGTTTGCCTTTCTACATTTTTGGCATCAGTGTTGTTAATAATAATAATAATAATAATCTTTATTGGAAAATCGCAAACCGAAGGTTGAAGTTATACAATTATGTAATTTATTTATTTATTTAAATGATTTTTTTATTCAAGTCAGAGAAGCTTGGTCATTTCTGCACTGGTGCACTATGTAGACGGTCTCACCTCCCTGGGGAGGATACAGCTCGGCTGACATAGTAGGCGCTTAGAGCTAATACATCATTTCTGCAATGCCTGACCAAGCCCCTGCTTCAACCCCTTAGTGCTGAGTGCCAAGCGGGGAGACAGCAGATACCGTTTATAAAGGACTGGTATGTCCCCGGACGGGTTTTGAACTCACGTCCTCCCGCTCCGGAGGCGGACACTCTAATCACAAGGCCATCCGGTCGGTCTTGTTCCACGGGGTCTCTCAGCTATGCACGGTGTAGTGGCAGGAGTACCTCCAGCTAAAAGTGACCACTCAGCTTTACGTCTTACACCACTACACGTCACTTCCGGCACAATTCTCACCAATGCTGATCTCCTCAGGTACCCCTTACTCACACTGATATGAAGAGGAAAGCCAGACATGCTAATCGTTGTCTGTATAAATGTAATGAAGTGCAGAGTCCCTAGCCCCTAGGTAGCTACTATCATCATACTGATGTCTCATAATTTTATTAACGGCTTCACTTCTCCGGGCCACCGTTGTCAAAAACATAGCAAATGTGCTTGCTTCAAAGTACCTTACACAATATATATATATCAAGAGTGAGTTTTCTGTTATCATTGAAACGCTGTACTTTTTCCAGCCAGGTCACGTATGTGAGCAAATACATTAGCACTCGGCCTTGCGCTTATCGCCTCGACATTCACCTGACCCTTGCCTTAAAGTCCAGGCCCTTGTACTCCATCTAAACCGTATGTTTGCTGTACATGACAGTATGGCGGCCGGTGCTTGTTGGAAACTATTCTGTGTCGTACTTGGTATCTTAGAGGCTGCTGTCTACTCTGTCACGTTATACGGATGGCCAGCCTTCATGTACATATTCATAGAGGAAGGGTTTTATTATTCCCGTTGTGACTTCGATACTGTTACAAATGCTACTTATAACATGACGAGTGCTGATTGTTCTGGCCTTGGCAACTGCACACAAGACACAACCGGAGAGGACCATGTTCAAAAGTGCACCGAGCAAGAAGAAATGCTCAACCTGGTTTACACAATCGCTATTGTCAGTTTAGTGGCACTTATTTTACTTGGTTATGCCTATGATCACTATGGAACAGTCTGTTTGAGGATCATATCTATGTAAGTAGCGTCACATTTCATTGAAGCAGTTGCTACGCGTGGCTTGCTGAACGAATTTTGGTAAAAAACGATGTAATACTATAGTTAATTAGCACGTTTTTATGCTTTTAACAACGGTAAAGAAGGGCTAATTACTCTCATGGCGATATATAATGTCAAGTTTATATAACACAACAAAAGAGCACTGTTTCAATTGACTATTGCCATAGCCATTACGTTAATTAATTCTTCGTCTTGCTTTAAATGACCTCTGTGTTCTCTAATGTAAACATGAGTGTCGCGACACGTGCATTCTTAACGGAGGGGTTAATTCAGAGAATATATGTTGTTACCATGTATGTCTAATTAATCAAGATGTTAAACCCCACCGCTTGGTTTGAATGTTTTATTGATAATTTAACCAGTACATTTGTTCATTATGTAAACTTATATACGTGTTCAGTCACAAACTGGCAACATAATTACCAACTAAAAAAGGACTGAGAGCGCAGACCTCCGCCAGGACAGCAATTTTTTTTTGTTATTATTGATTATTGATTGATTATCGATGCTGATCACCACCAAAAACTAATAATCTGTTCCCTGGCCCACTTCTGACAGTTCCTGAAAATTTCATCAAAATCGGTCCATAACATTTTGAGTTATGTTGATGACAGACAGGCAGAAAGACAGACAAACAAACAAGGGTGAAAACATAACCTCCTTGTCGGAGGTAATTAGAGAATAGTAATGCACCAGTGGTATTGTTGTTAATATATAGTAATACATAATACTGTGCAAGGTCATGATCATCTATGTGCCAGTGCAGAAATATAAATTAAATCAAAATTTATTCTTGGCGTTTTCTTTCAGATGCATGTGTGTTGGTGGAGTTATCCTGATGGCGTTGACTGAGAAAGGTACATGTATATATATAGACGATTTTACGGAAGGGTGGGTTATGGTGTTAATTAGGAGTACAGGGGGTAGTAAAGATACGACATTGATGATGAGGTCCAACTATCCACATTCTGAGCCCCTCAGGTCTGTTGTTTTATATTCACGACGTTCAGGGAAGTTGAGAATCGTGATTTAATGCTGTGCACGAAAAAATAAATAGATAAGTAAAAAAACAAGCAAAATTTTATAACCATTAAATTATTTTATAATCAGAGACAATGAACATCTTCACTTTTAACAGGGACAGAAGGGCTGTTATTCCCTGGGGCTGTATTTCATTTAATGGGAGGCTACCAGTTGGCTATAACTGACGTCCAGGTGGCCGTATTGTTTCCTAAGCTAAAGGCGACACTCATCTGCCTGATTTCTGGTGCCATAGACGTTAGCGGTTTTGTCCCTATTTTGCTGAAGGTAATTAATGCACCACCTACCTTGGTGCGAGCGTGCTCTCTCTCTCTCTCTCTCTCTCTTTCACACACACACACACACACACACACACACACACACACACACACAGTGATAAGAATTAAGGCCAGAAATGCGCAGCATTCACGCGATACGCGAGGGCGCTACAGTAGGGCTTCACGTGACTCAACTAGCCAATCACAGCACAACAATGGCATCGCACACAGACTCTATGATAAGTGCTCGAGGAGCAGCCCATTGTCAAGTAGTGTTACAGGTAGTTCATTGTAACAAGCGTCTGACATGTGCAGAGTACTTTATTGTAATATATATTGTTCTTATTGTTACATTATTAAATCTAACTCTGTATCCAAGTAGTAACTATACTGTACCAAGTCAGATACTGATGATGCGTGCAGAGGTCATATATTCCAGAATAAGCCTTATTACCACTAATGTATAACTTTTATTTTTGTTTAATATGTTATTCATGAAAGAGTTCATGAAAGATTATTTTAAGTTGTTAAATCGTAATCTTATTCTTTTTATATTCAAATAAATGAATAATTTGGGTAAAATTGGTCTTCCACTTCTTTTTTCCATTTTTCCTTTACTACAAGATTATTTTGGAACCGTTGCAGCATTGAAAATTAAAATAAATAGCAATCTGAAAGAAGAGTTTTGCATAATTACTAAATGATGATATAAATTTTGGATTAAGAGTATAATTAAATAGTGATATTGTCAGTCAATATATGCAGAATCTGATAATATGATTGAAAATACTGATTGAATTCTTGGCCTTGCACTGGGCAGTTTTACATTTGTGTCCTTTTTTTGGACTCCATATTACAGTGGTAAAAGTTCCACAATTGTCATGAAAGTTTTTAATCAGACTCTGTATGGTGCTGCCATCTACTGGTGCTATCGGCAACGAATTAGTTTGCCTTTGTTTCTGAGTAAATCACCGTCTAAAATCACTATTTCTGAAAATATTTGCGTTTTGCTGATGGAAAGCTAGGCAATGCACGGCAAACATCTTAGTACGTGTGTACAACAGATTTTTTTAACCCTAGCGATATTTGGCCAGGAGTTGCTTAAAGCATAGCACAGCGTTGCTGTCTATCGGCATTAGGCCGTTAGTTTCAATTATCACGAATTACCCACGAATCGCGAACCCATTCATTTTCCTATGGAAATCTAGCAACTCATTAAAAATGCACGCATGCGCAGTGGGCTAGACGTGACGCCATGCATCGCATTTCTGGGGATGGTTCGTGTGCGTGTTTGTCTCAAAAATATTCCGAAACTTGTGAATTATTTAGGCAAACAATGAGTCGACCAGCCAAGCGACTTTTTGGGGGTCTTCATTTCATTCAGTGAAATATTTTTATCAAAGGCTATGATGAATATTAATATTGTAGCTGACTGAATTATTCACCTCGTTTGCCGTTTACTAACCGGTTTAGACTGGCAACATATGTAAGTTGTATTGCTTGCTGACTTGTATTACCACTTTCTGTCTCTGAATACTTAAATATAGGTTTATTGTAATTAAATTGTAGATGGCGTACCAGGCAGGAGTGTCGTACAAGATGTGCATGTTCACATTTGCCGGTATCATACTTCTAATATCTTCTGTGAACACAATCACCCTTCCACCTAGACAGGATGACGACGGGAACGACATTGACGCTGCTTGTTATCTAAAGATTCTCAAAAGGCACAGATCCGCCGAAGTCTCTTCCAAACCTAGCACGGTACGTTTTGCTTATGGCAACGAAGCGTACGATCAAAATAGCGTGAATAAATCTTCTACAAACACACAATTTGGTGAGTATCAAATTATAGAAGAATATCGATTAAACTGAACATACGCACTGTTCATGGTCCTATACACGAAAAGCTTAAATTAGGGGTACTGATCAATGTTTAGAACCAACCCAAAGTTTATTTATTTATTTATTTATTTATTTATTTATTTATTGGCAACGCATCATACCTTTTTTGTGAAAAAAAACCGTAATTAATTACCAGGCTGCACCACCAATCAAAATGACAATAGCTTTAATATTTACTAGGAGGCAAGCTTTCCTCTTATTCATCAAGGAGGGTTTCTCTGTCACCAAGTAGATAGGGACGCAATCCTGGAGAAAGCCCATGACAAAAATAACCATCATGCTGTAAGCATTAACACCAGTGATCAACAAGTGAAAAATGGCGAACACAGAAAAACGAGTATTGATCAAAGTGACCTGATGGTCCGCGAAGAAGAAAACCCCGACAGCAACGATGTCGACGACAACACTTACACCAGTTTACTGCATGGAACGCTACTGCTCATCAAAAGGCCAACATTTTGGTTGCTGCTGTTCTGGTTCATATGCCAGGATACCATCATTGTCACATACCAAGGTTGTTTTTACGCGATCATCAATTACTACGGAAACAATGTCAAAAGTACAGGTAAGATATTCATGTGTGTTTTTTTTATCATATCTATCTTAAAGCACAGCGAAGGTGGCATAAATTGGGCATTATTGAATGACAAGAATGAAACATGCCCTTCTAAGTGTCTACAAGCCCAACACTTGGCTTTGTTTAGTTCAAAGTGTTCTGCTGTGATTTATAAATATACCTTTAAAGTAAGGAAAGAAAATAATATGAATAGTTCCCAAAAGAATTTGTTTCGAATCACTTGCCTAATTCCTAAAACGGGTGATCATACACGTAACGTTCCAGGTAATTCTCTCTTCAAACGATTCTCATTAATCTTACTTTCGTTGAGAGAATAAACCTAAACGTTTTAAAACCTGGGAGGGATAACGTTACAGCAACCCAGCAAAGGACCTCGGTAACTGACTCGATGATGTGAGCTTCAGAAGTTTCGACAAAAAATCCTCTTAAGTACAGATGTTCATTTTTCTGCCTTAAGCTATACACAAGAGACAATATAAAAACGTTTCAACTAACCTTATTATATTACAGTTAGTATGTACACGGACGTGTATTCCTGGTTTCAAGTGGGTTCTCTGTTCTGGGCCTTACCTACTGGTTTGATGCTAGACAAACTAATTGCCAGTTCAGCAAAAGAAGGTAATTAATTGCTCTCTCTCTTTTTCTATCTCTCTCTCCACTAGTATATATATATATGTCAAAGGCCCTGACCAAATCTAGACCCATGCATAAAAAGCCCAGACCCCATGTTTATTACACCCTGGCTGGGCCCATTCTTTATGGTGTCTTTGCATTGTTAACAGCATAACGGGCAAGTTAAATGACCAAGTTAATAGGCCAAGCTGCCAGTTTGTTTGTGTATGTGCAGGGGATGTCTAAGATCAAAGCACAAATGAAGCCCACCTTTAATTTAACATTTCTTTAGTAAATGTTATTTAATCAATCTACATGTCTTTTCTTTAAACATTAAACATCTTTAAAAGTATCATCCTCTGATGTATTTTACAAATCACAGTTAATGAAATACAAGTATAACTTATTTCCCACACCTGTAAGTATCATAATATGTGCCTTAATCTAAGACATCCCCTGCACATGCCATACAAACAAACCGGCAGCTTGGCCAATTAACTTGGTCATTTAACTTGCCCATTATGCCGTTAACAATGCAAAGACACCATAGAGAATGGGTCCAGCCAGGGTGTAATAAACATGGGGTCTGGGCTTTTTATGCATAGGACTAGATTTGATCCGGGTATTTGACATATATGTATCTTAGATCAATGTCTCTATCTATATGTCTATCTGTAATACTCCTATATATCTCTGGCTTCAACAATTTCANGCAAAGACACCATAAAGAATGGGCCCAGCCAGGGTGTAATAAACATGGGGTCTGGGCTTTTTATGCATAGGACTAGATTTGATCCGGGTATTTGACATATATGTATCTTAGATCAATGTCTCTATCTATATGTCTATCTGTAATACTCCTATATATCTCTGGCTTCAACAATTTCAGTTGGTAATGGATATGCTATACTGAACTTGTGCATAGTATTAAGAAGCAAATATATGATTCAAGTAAAAATGTTATTTTCAATTCAATTTCAATTTATTTCCGCACTAGTACATTATTATATACTCAATTTATATATTATATATTCAACTTATTTGTGCACTGGTACATTATTATATACTCAATTTATATATTATATATTCAAATTATTTCTGCACTGGTACATTATTATATACTCAATTTATATATTATATATTCAAATTATTTCTGTACTGGTACATTATTACATACTTCAGCACATTACTATATACTTCAGACAAAGAGCGATGCTTCATGGTTCCACTATCCCTGGCGATTTTGGTTGGCATCGTAGTATCCATTGCGTGCATTATCCCAGTTATTGAGATGCACTTTGTGGCTATTTTCTTTCATTCTGTATTGAAAACCGGGAGTTACGCTGTGCATTTGGCCTTCGTTGCATCTGTGTAAGTAAATATGGTTATGCTTTCGAAGTACTTGATTGTACTTGGTTATACGAACTTCATTTTTTTGTGTCGTGAAGTTCTTTATTCTCTCACCAAAAGTGACTGTTTACATTTGTTTAATTTATCAACTAATTATAGTTAAGGTAAATAAATAAAAAGTGGGACTTTGCATTCGTATCGTTCAAATTATACTAGGTTTCCAAAGGAACATTTTGGGAAGGCATATGGAATACAAAATACCGTTGGTAGTTTGGTGAACTTTATTAATATACCAATATTCTCCTGGTACAAGTACGACCTGGAAAGTGACCCCCTTTGGGTATGTATAAAATTTATTGTATACATATAGACATTCTATTATGTATTCAAATAAGGAACAGAAGGAGATTTAACATAATGTCGAATCGTTCTACTAAATTATTCAATCATGATAGGCTATTGGCTGTTTTGTTATTAATATTTATTTATTTATTCATTATTTTATTTTATTTATTTATTTGTGAAGAGGTATTGGTATGTGGAGTAGTAAATGTTGAGGTATTTAAACTACAAATCCACAGTAAAGCTTAAAAATAATTTGTCCAGTCTACAGTTACCGAAATTTGTGAGGATTATATAATTTTAAAAAAATGTATTTCCCATGGCATTGCCATCGACATGACACATATTTACAGTAATTTAATGGCACCATTTTATGATAGTTAGCATTTTCTTCTTGTTTTGTAGCTTGGAGTACTGTTCCTGGGAATATGCTTCACGGCCAGCAGTTTGCCTTTCTACCTTCTTTGGCGTCGGTGTCGCTCCACAGAATAACAACTACATGTACATGACAAAGGATTGTAAAGCGACTGTGATGTACAGGTAGTGGTAGTGGCAGTGGCCCGGAAGCTATGGCCGGATGCCCATTGTTCTAGAGGACATTTGCACAAACACGATCCATTGAGTGCTGTAGGCCGTGAATTACAATCGGATGCCAGTTTTTGCCTATAATGTTTTTTTTTTTTTTTGTTTGTTTGTTTATTTGTTTGTTTGTTTGTTTGTTTGTTTGTTTCAGGAAATATGAGTCTTTTTAAATTAAAATTACAATGCTTAATCAAAAAGTATTATTTGGGCTTATTATTGTTAAAATCAGATGTACGTGTTTTTATAGGAGATAATTATATGCGTTACATTTTATTTTGCCTCGTTCAGATTAAAAAAAATAGGGTCAAAACATGGAGCACATGGAAATTATTATGTTAAAACCCAATGTCCCTCGCAAAATAAATCTAAAGCAATATCAGCTTCGATTGCAGCAGAGGCGATCAGTTCTTTCTCCTCCAGATGGCGCTTGAGTACGGTTTGGTTTGAAACCTATTAAACACTTTTCAGTTGAAAGGGAGTGGTGGACCATATACGGAAAGCCTGTGACCTACATAATGTCATTTGTAGGTGGGTAAGCGTATATTATTCGTTTACATTTGCCATTATGTGGAACACAAATGTAGGCTATTTATTTTTATTTTAGTTGATTGTAATACCAAAACCCAGCTTCCTAAAAATGGTACGTGTTGAACAGAAAAGGCACTCACTCCACCCTGTCCCCCCCCCTTCACCCACCGACTCTTCTCAGTAGAAAGAGCTAGATGTCACTTCTTCAGTTTTCATTGAGGGTACGAGACGTGGACACAAGGCGAGCTGGATGCTGGTACAAAGTATACAAATATTTATATATAAACTGGTGCATTATTACATATTAAGACATTAATGGCATTTTTCTGGTGATAGCTTATGTGTAATTTATATCGGAAACAATTACGTTACGTATGCACGTCTTTATGTTTTAACTCGGGTATGACAGGAATGGTAGTCTCGGGAACGGGAGGCCAGGGTCCCATATGATAAGTACAGGTTAGGGTTAGTTGTAGTATTGGGATGAATGTCACCTGTACAAACTAATGGGAGACGGGCTACGGTTCCTAGCGAAGAGCCTTTCCTGTCACACCGGCCCTGTCTTTACCCCATTTGGTATTCAGTTACTACATTCGGAAGTTATCTCATTATGCCTAAAATCAACATGCAACTCATGTTGCAGAACTCTGTTAAGCTAATTTGGCATAGCAAAAGAAGTATAATTTCACGCAAGACAAAAATGGTAAACGCTGTGGAAAGTGCCTGCTTTAAACCTTAGATTCTGTCATGTTGATATAAAGTTAGAAATTGGTAAACGAATTAAAGAATATATGATGCACGTATAGTGCGGTGCTTCCCTTTTCCCTCAAAGGTATTTTGTTCCTTTAAAATGCGCAAGCTGAATATTATTTCTATAGATTTCTGCCCCTTAAGTGGCAAGATCGACGCTTGATGTCTATCATATAAAGATCTCACGCTCATTAAAGTGCATATAAAGTGTGCTTAACTTTCATTGCTCAGAAATAATTTAAAAACTTACTATTTTGTTGCATAAAAATACCATTCTTCGGGACACAGTCGATTATTTTGTTGTAAAAGTGAAGTGTATAGAATTTTCTAATTTAATTTCCATATTTCCTGATATTGAGAAGCTGGTTTTGTGGCAAAACATTTTTATGTGTAAAATTGATGGTACCTATTTATCTGAACTGTATGTTTGTAGAATGTACAACATGGCATGTTATAGTAGATAAACTGGTGTTCTGGACATTAATATGTTGCACAAATCTTGGCTTTTCTTAAAGATAAATGGACTATTCCAGAGATCTAATATATCTATTTTTTTTAGTTAAGATGTTCTTCCACAGTTTTTCTTACCAGCATTTTCATATTGCATTCTAATACCGAGCAGGCTCAGGAATATCTTGTACTTGAGGACACTTTTTGTTCAAGAATTGCGAAACCTTTGTTAAAATATTTTTTGGGAATTGAAAAAAAAAGACGATTGAGAGTGCAATTATTATCATGGTCTGCCCTTTGAGCTTAATTAAGATATGATCACTGTATTTGCAGTATGTGGTTCATTGAAGTATATATTTTATGACAAAGAAATATTTGAAATATAGATTCTTCATTTAATGTAACGTTTGTAATTCATTTGATTATGTCAGTTGTACACTAGTGTCGCTTTAAATTTCATTTTAGTGGGAGTATTATCATGATACATTTTGCATATTGAGGAAAAGGAATATTGTATGGGTCAATTTCCAGTATTTTTAGAAATTAATTATATGAGTATTAGAGGGTCTTTTTCTATGGATGTACAGGGTACATGATCCGCCATTTTTTTAAAGAAATTGTTAAAGACCCCTTGCCTCTAGTCGGCGAGGTCCCTCAGGATAGATCAAGTTGGAGAGGAAGACTGCGTGTCAGACTGGCCCCACCCTCTGTTGAAGATTAAACCCGGCCAGTATAAAATAAATCCGGATGATGATGATGATGATGATGATGCCTGTTTTGAAATACTTTGCTTTATATCAATGAGTTCAAACAAAAGAGACATAGTTTAGTAAATAGTTTATTTGTCTGATCAAACATAATAAGGCACCAGTAAATCTGTTTAACATTCAAAACGTGTCTAAATTTTTAAATTTTTGAAATGCAATTTTATTGGTTGATACTTTTTTAAAAGATGCAATCCATGAATATAAATTTGTTTAGTTCTTAATAAAATCTTTTAAAAGTCTTCGTGTTCTCATTTACGTTTTGAATGACTCGGTGTTAACATGAGGTTCGATTCCTAGTTTGGACACTTTGGAATTCCTAATTACTTGAGACGGGTGGTGTTATAAAATCGTTTTGCTTACTATGAGAAGAATATCCACCCGGGCCCGGTTGCACCAACCGGTCGTAAGTGAGGCGTAGCAGTTGCGCCGGCGTAAACCGGGCGCAAAATGCTACGCCCGAGAAAAGCCAGTTGCACCAAACTGGAATAGTGTTTACGTCGGTCTTAACTTTGTCGTAAATTTACGCCTGCTAACTAGGTGGAGTAAGTCGGTCGTAGCTCGTTTTGCACTATGGCTAGGCTGGCACAGAGAGAGTTTGATGACAATTATCGTAGTTAACGTAGATTATGTGGGTTGTTATTTGTTTGTTTCTTACACAAAACTTCCGTCTGCATAGCTTGGTTTAAAAAAAACTAATTTTATATATATATAACTAATTTTATAATTTAATATAATATATATATATATATGATTATTAAATACATTATGTGTGTAGCCATGTACATGTATATGCATGTGTTCAAATTAAATCTTACCACTCATGTCGACACGCCTTGGCTCTCAGCAGTACGGCTTCTTTAATTCTTTTCACAATTTTTGACAAACCATAATTAACCATAGTCATTTTTTATTCACATTTTATATCATTCATATTTTACTGTATATAAACATAGAGACGAAAGCTTNCCCTTCACCCACCGACTCTTCACAGTAGAAAGAGATGTCACTTCTTCAGTTTTCATTGAGGGTACGAGACGTGGACACAAGGCGAGCTGGATGCTGGTACAAAGTATACAAATATTTATATATAAACTGGTGCATTATTACATTTTAAGACATTAATGGCATTTTTCTGGTGATAGCTTATGTGTAATTTATATCGGAAACAATTACGTTACGTATGCACGTCTTTATGTTTTAACTCGGGTATGACAGGAATGGTAGTCTCGGGAACGGGAGGCCAGGGTCCCATAGGATAAGTACAGGTTAGGGTTAGTTGTAGTATTGGGATGAATGTCATCTGTACAAACTAATGGGAGACGGGCTACGGTTCCTAGCGAAGAGCCTTTCCTGTCAAACCGGCCCTGTCTTTACCCCATTTGGTATTCAGTTACTACATTCGGAAGTTATCTCATTATGCCTAAAATCAACATGCAAAAGACTCTGTTAAGCTAATTTGGCATAGCAAAAGAAGTATAATTTCACGCAAGACAAAAATGGTAAACGCTGTGGAATGTGCCGGCTTTAAACCTTAGATTCTGTCATGTTGATATAAAGTTAGAAATTGGTAAACGAATTAAAGAATATATGATGCACGTATAGTGCGGTGCTTCCCTTTTCCCTCTAAGGTATTTTGTTCCTTTAAAATGCGGAAGCTGAATATTATTTCTACAGATTTCTGCCCCTTAAGTGGCAAAACCGACGCTTGATGTCTGTCATATAAAGATCTCACGCTCATTAAAGTGCATATAAAATGTGCTTAACTTTCAATGCTCAGAAAAGAAAACGAGCATATTAGTTCTTCAAATTTAAAAACTTACTATTTTGTTGCATAAAAATACCATTCTTCGGGACACAGTCGATTATTTTGTTGTACAAGTGAAGTGTATAGAATTTTCTAATTTAATTTCCATATTTCCTGATATTGAGAGGCTGGTTTTGCAAGTATCCAATATATGGCAAAACATTTTGATGTGTAAAATTGATGGTACCTATTTATCTGAACTGTATGTTTGTAGAATGTACAACATGGCATGTTATAGTAGATAAACTGGTGTTCTGGACATTAATATGTTGCACAAATCTTGGCTTTTCTTTAAGATATATGGACTATTCCAGAGATTTAATATATCTATTTTTTTTAATTAAGATGTTCTTCCACAGTTTTTCTTACCAGCATTTTCATATTGCATTCTAATACCGAGCAGGCTCAGGAATATCTTGTACTTGAGGACACTGTTTGTTCAAGAATTGCGAAACTTTAGTTAAAATATTTTTTGGGAATTGAAAAAAAAGACGATTGAGAGTGCAAATATTATCATGGTCTGTCCTTTGAGGTTAATTAAGATATGATCACTGTATTTGCAGTATATGGTTCATTGAAGTATATATTTTATGACAAAGAAATATTTGAAATATAGATTCTTCATTTAATGTAACGTTTGTAATTCATTTGATTATGTCAGTTGTACACTAGTGTCGCTTTAAATTTCATTTTAGTGGGAGTATTATCATGATACATTTTGCATATTGAGGAAAAGGAATATTGTATGGGTCAATTTCCAGTATTTTTAGAAATTAATTATATGAGTATTAGAGGGTCTTTTTCTGTGGATGTACAGGGTACATGATCCGCCATTTTTTTAAAGAAATTGTTAAAGACCCCTTGCCTCTAGTCGGCGAGGTCCCTCAGGATAGATCAAGTTGGAGAGGAAGACTGCGTGTCAGACTGGCCCCACCCTCTGTTGAAGATTAATCCCGGCCAGTATAAAATAAATCCGGATGATGATGATGATGATGATGCCTGTTTTGAAATACTTTGCTTTATATCAATGAGTTCAAACAAAAGAGACATAGTTTAGTAAATAGTTTATTTGTCTGATCAAAGATAATAAGGCACCAATAAATCTGTTTAACATTCAAAACTTACAAATATACCAACATTCAAAACGTGTCTAAATTTTTAAGTTTTTGAAATGCAATTTTATTGGTTGATACTTTTTTAAAAGATGCAATCCATGAATATAAATTTGTTTAGTTCTTAATAAAATCTTTTAAAAGTCTTCGTGTTCTCATTTACGTTTTGAATGACTCGGTGTTAACATGAGGTTCGATTCCTAGTTTGGACACTTTGGAATTCCTAATTACTTGAGACGGGTGGTGTTATAAAATCGTTTTGCTTACTATGAGAAGAATGTCCACCCGGGGAGGGTGGGTGGAAATTCCTAGGCGAGTGGATAACGCGCTAAAATCGGAGCCAGCAGGTCCCAGGTTCGATTTCAGGCGGCTCTATGTCCCAGCCAATTAACTTTTGCACAAAAAAGATTCAAATCACCAATTTGAATTACCACAAGAGGTCCGTACAAATGCAATTTAAGCTGAAAATGAGTGGATAGCTCAGTAAATAAGATGGAAAGCTGAAAACCAAAGATAATGGTTTCGTAGGCAGAAGACCAAAGGATCGCGTGGAGCTGAAGAAAGCAATGTCAGAAAAAGATGTGCCTTTTTTTGGAAATTCTAAAAGAAGACAAAACACAATCTGCATTTATTTCTACAAAAACGAATGCAAGCAAATATACATCACAAAGTTTATAAAATTTTATATTGATTTACCTAAATAATGTCCACAAAGCATCGATTCTGTAATATTAAACAAGTCGATTTTTTTTTTTTTTTTTTTTTTTTTTTTTTTTTTTTTTTTTTTGCATTTCGGAAAAGTGCTGCTTAAAAGACAAAAGCTCTGGAATATTACGGTGGACACGGCACTATCCAGTGCGTAAGATTTAGAAGTTTCAGACAAGAATAAATAATTAATTTGTAAAATAATCATATCATACTTTGCAACTATTGTTAGAAGTGCATTAGTTTTATAATTAAAGAACACCCTGTCTAAATTTAGTCTTATGAATGGCGAAATCTCATAATGCACTTACATGCAGGCCTTCTCCTCGCCCGCATGTACACCTTTTCTATGCTGTTGAACTGATTCATGCTCAGGAAGTCAAACGGTAGTCAAAAGTTATTCATTTTTTTGTGGGATTCGTGGCTGTTCCCAAAATAGATAAATGTAACTGATGCAAAGATAATTCTGTTTTCTTTATCATTAAATTCGCAAGTAAGCACTTGATGTCACAATTTTGTGAGGCAACGACATAAATACATAATCGGCTACATGTTACAATCTGACCCAAGCCATAGTCATCTTTAAGAATAATATGCAAACAAAGCTGAAAAGGTTCAACACAATTGCTTTTACTTTAGATAACAAATTCAAATTGATACTAAAACCAACTCTGGTCTCCGGTGTTCAGTAATCAATGAACCTCCAGTAAAATAACCCAACAGGACTTGCGGGACTGACATCTTATAAGACATTTTCCTCTTAATCACATCTTGATGCCGATCAAAGATAGAAGATCATTTTATGAGACAATTCGGTGCATTCGCCAATGTCTGATAAAACTATAAGAATCGCTATGCAATATTTTCTCCTAAAAGTGTATTTACAAAAATCTTTGTAAGTTTTCTACTAACTTTTATTTGGAGAAGATTGACAAAAGCTGAAAACCTAAATATCTTTATTGAATCATTTAGTCAGTACCACAATATCCAAGCTATGCGACTGCTTGAGTAATAATTTGATTCTATAACTACAATTGTTCAAAATGAACAATGGAAAAGGTTACTGTCAGTCCTGCAGACCTGAAGATGGACAAATGATGTCGATAAAAAATAATAAAGCACGTGGTCAGCAAAATAAACCAGCGAAATGCAGGATTAAAGTATAGACTTGGTAATTTTCTTTTTGTTTTACTTTTCTGGTCAAGAATTTCGTGAATAAAATGCTAGCTATAATCTGATACAAGTTTTGGTGCCGAATCAAAACAGTCAAAAAAATTAAGCCTTATATTAAATTTTGATTCTGCGATTTTAATACTGGAAGACAATCTTCGGCAATCGGGGCATTCACAACATGGGTGCGGTTGATGTCAAACACCAATCTGATGGCTTTGCTGCAGGACGCATCCAATCTCCTCGTTAAGGGTAGTTACGCTTCACTGCATGAAAATAAATGAATTCACATCACGACACGACTTAGGGATTGTGAAATCTGTTTATATAACGTATATATACATTGGCAATCCATTTTTGTATTAAAGTCATTATACTAACAAACTATTTTCCCAAACTATTTTGTAATGATAGATTATATACAATAGAATTAATGTTTTATTGAAAATTACATAACTTTTAAAAAATATCTGAAAATGTACCTAAACTTTTATCTGATAACGGAATTTCAAGATAAACTATTGTTCACGCCAATAAGAGCTCCCGTGGTCATTATACCTAGACTGTATAGTGCAAAATGCACCATTTTTGGGCTAACATCGTCCACAAAAAACTGAGCAAAGTTGTTTGACATCGTCCACACAATACTTACAACATACTGCTGTCGTTTTCAGACCCTACTTTTCGCCTAAGAATGAAATTAGAGCAATGTGGCACGAGGCTTCCGTCGTCTCCATCCTCTGCTGCCTTGGTCCTATCTGAATACCTTTCACCAAAATGCTCACCTGATTGATTTACATAATAATATACAGGTTTTCTGCTTTCCTTATGGAAGCCTCGGTTTAAAATCTAGAATTTGTACTATGACAAGGCACAATGAGTCCTGGGAAGGTGATACCCCAGTGAAAGTACACAATAAAATCCATGACCCGGGATTGTGTTAGAGAAGACTTCCACCTTTGCAATCTATTAATAATGTTTAAGCTTCTCTCTTACACAAAACTGACACGATCATTTTGTTAACTCTTGTACATGTCACTAGATGTAAGTCACATTACTGTAAACAGCCGTGTTTTGTGTTCCGTTTCTGTATAAAACCAACCTGTAAACACGGTAATCATTTAAAAATTCTAATTAAACTTGGACTAGGTCCCCATACCTAGATAGATGTAACAGGATCGATCCATCTACGAGGGGTTTCTAGCTAAATTGCTCTCAGCTTAAGCGGCTTAGATGCCTGGCACGCCTACTAAAGCTGATAAACGATAATTAATTACCCTCTAGCAGCTTCAGTAGGCGTGACAGACATCTAAGCTGCTTAGCGAGAATTCCCTCGGAGACAGATCGATCCACAGTTAGTACGATATAGTCTGGGAATGGTGACTTAATGTGTACATGTACAGTACATGCAACAAACCCACAGTCGTGATCCGCCAAACAATGATTGACAGAATCGTTCATGTGATTACCAAGTTTTTAGGTAAACATACAGTAAAAGGTACACATATTGATTCGAACAAAAAGAAAGACCTTACTACAAAGTGCAATATGAAATACGATACGACCCTAGCGACATTCTGCCGTAAACTGCAGTAAAGACGGAGGTTAATCTTTAAACGTGCATAAAAACCTTATCAGCTCACAGCCGGGTGCATTCCAGGTTAGCATATTTAGATATACATTCCCGTTGCATTGGACAACATGTCATCCAGTACTTGTTGGAAACTATTAAGTGTCGTACTTGGTATATTAGAGGCTGCTAGTTACTCTGTCACGTTATTTGGATGGCCAGCCTTCACGTACGTATTTATAGAGGAAGGGTTTTATTATTCCCGTTGTGACTTCAATACTGTAACAAATGTTACTTATAACATGACGAGTGCTGATTGCACTGATCTTGGCAACTGCACGCAAGACACAACCGGAGAGGACCTTGTTCTTAAATGCACGGAACAAGAAGAGATGCTGAACTTAGTTTACACAGTTGCTATGGTATCTTTAGTTGCTCTCCTTGTGCTTGGGTATATTTATGATCACGGTGGGACAGTATGTGTGAGAATCATATCTATGTAAGTATATGAGCGCGTTCAGAGCAATTTAATCCGCGGTCTAACAGATCCGTGGATCAAATATGGCGCCACCCACTTGAAAGCGTGCCGAGATTTAATTGTGCTGTGCCCCTGCTGGAACGGTGAGTGGGTGTGTGTTTGTGTGTTTGGGTGGGGGGGGGGGATCCACCATCAAGAGGGCGCCATATTTAATACTTGGATAAGTTGGTCCGCGGGTCAACTTTGTCGTGAATGCTTTCTGTTTCAATCAAGCCCCTGTAGCAGAAATGGAAATCTGCTGAGAATAGTTGTCCTCATTTCCCCCATTACTTTGTAAAGGTAACGTACTTCCCATATACTAACATCAACACTTTCCGGCTATACATGTAACATTTACCCGCACTAACCATATTGAACTTCGATGTAACGAAACCGATGACTTTGTTACAGAAAGCCCGCCCTCTATATAGTCACGATGGCTAGGATTAGCCTGACTAAAGTAGGTCAAAATTTATGGCGAGACTTATACCTGTACGAATGAATGGGAAGCGGACTCTCTATCATGGGGGACTCTCTGTTACGTTACACAGGACTTCTATACTTCTAAGACTTCCATCTCCAACACAAGGCTTGCTACACTTTGCACAACGAATGTTGGCCCCCTTTCACAAATACATGTATATAACAACATAGGCCTACAGCCAAACATATATAATATAAAATAAAAGACCGCAACATTAAAGTCCATTTTAAAACACCTATCCGTAAATATGATGTTAACTTCCAAACATTACCATTATTCCAACTTTTAATGTGGTTGGAAAGAGCAACAGTTATCGAAATGGCCCCAAGCTCGGTTGTAACAGGAGCCCCACACGTAGAGGCTCACAGTTATACATGACTGTTGTTGTTGTTGCCATGATGGTAAATTCATCTTCTTCATTTTTTTAAGCTGGTACACATATTGGTAGGCTCCATATGCACCTGCAATAAACACCAAGAGCTAAGAGGGCACATCGACATTTTCAATCATATCAGAAAAAGATATCTGAAACGCTTGATTAATTCTTGACATTTCCTTTAAGATGCCTGTGTGCCGGTGGAATTTGCCTGATGGCGTTAGCAGGGAGAGGTATGGAAATTTCACGACTTACACTAACGATACAAACATTTAGATTGACAGATACTTAAATTTACATTAATCTGTAAGGAGCAAGTACAACTAAAATAGATAGTATTACATAAGAAATGGATCCCTGTGGCGTTCAATACGCGCACGGAAGATGATAGATTAATGGAGGACCCAGAGAAGAAGAAGCATGAGTCCTATATGCATGTGTCATGGCAGATACTCATGTGCTATTCTATATTTGTTTCAATTTGTTGGGTATTTTTTCCATTCCCATTTCATTTTGAAAACCCTTGTTCCCACATACCAGTGTGCATGGATGTAAGCGTTACCCAATATAAAAATGACATCAAATTCGAAACTCAACAAAAAAGAGTAAAAAAAAAATGCGTTTCCAAGATGCGTTTCGAAGGCTTCTGTAAATTTGCAGAAACTGCGTTTTTTTCTTGGTACTTCCTGCAAAATCCTAAAAACTATTAATTTGCTGCATTTTTTTTTTTTTTTTTTGGTTTTGTTTTTCTAAGGGTCCAGGTCTCCCAAGCTCGTAAATGTGCAAACCTGTATTCAGACGGCAAAGAATATTTTGATTAGAATCCAGCAAACATAAACGATATCTTCAAAATTTTGTGGAACATACCGAAAATTTGGGAGAAATAACCAAGAGAAAATGACAGTTTTCAAATTTGATAGGGACAGAATGGCTGTTATTCCCTGGGGCTGTATTTCATCTAATGGGAGGCAACCAATTGGCTATAACTGACGTCCAGGTGGCGCTGCTATTTCCCAAGCTGAAGGCGACACTCACCTGCTTGATTTGCGGTGCCATGGACGTCAGCGGCTTTGTCCCCATACTCTTAAAGGTAATACATGCATTCCTTACGTAATCATACACCTTCACTCAGAGACACACACAGAGACACACACACACAGTTGCAAGAGAGCCGTAGGGGTTATTTTAGCAAATAACATTCATAGAAGATCCATAAAATATAAAATCTTTATCTTACAGTTGACCTAATTTTGCCCTTTATTGATATTGCTGGGTGTTAAACAGTCATTTAGACTGGTATTTATGTTTTATGGGATGTTTCCCCTTTTGGCTGACTTGGGATATCCCTTCAGATGTTTTTTTTTTTTTTTTTTTTTTGGAATGTATATGTTATTCTCAGTTTTTCAACTGTTATACTAATTTAATTAATTGTAGATGGCCTACCAGGCTGGATTGTCGTACAAGACGTGCATGTTAAGCTTTGCTGGTATCATACTTCTAATGTCTTCTGTCAACACATTCATCCTTCCACCTAGACAGGACGAAGACGGGAACAACATCGACATTAATTGCTGTTTGAAGATACGCAAAAGGCACAGCTTAACCAAAAAACACCCCAAACCCTACCTGGAAAGTTGTAGAAATGGCGCTGACACATTCCATGAAACGGGAGAAAATGAATCTGTCACACGTGAGCAACTCGGTGAGCATCAATTATGTTGATTAATCTCATCTCGCCGATGTAACTGGAAAAGAAGTCTGCTAGGAACAGTAATCAGCTTCCCATCCCTTTGTGACATTCGTCCAATATACTAACCCCAATACTCCAAATTAACCCTAACCTGTACACCTGTACTAATCACACGGGTGCCTGGACTTCTATTCCCAGGACTTCCATTCATGTTACCACGGTGTAACGAAACTGAGGGTGCATGTAACAGAAACCCCGTCCTCCATTTAGTTATCATAGTTAGAGTTAGCCTTTCCTAAGTGGGTCATAAATTTGGGCGAGGCCCACCTGTACCAGTGAATGGGTAGCTCACTCTCTATCATTGGGGACTCTCTATCACGTTACACGGGTTTGATGATGTTAAAATAATCGTCTATAAATTAATACCTTCCTCCCCTCCAATAAAAAAACGAAGGTAATTTACCCATATTGAAAAGCAATCCAAATTTCCTTCATTGCAACTATTTTGAAGATGGACACAATATATAGATTCCTTTAGCCAATATTTGGTTCTTTAGGATTAAGGGGTATTTTACTGATCATGAAAAGAGTGTTGTTGATCAAAAAGATATTTATGATTGCACATTTTTCAAGATTTGTGTCCATGTTGGTCCATTTCGGTAAAATGATACAATGATTGGAATAGATCCGCCCAATTCGATACATTTTCTCTTTAAAGAAAATGTATGTAGAAAACCCCTTGATGACAGTTATCTTGAGTTATGTAGTTATTAAGATGGAATTAATTGAATGCTTTTAAAAATGATGAAAATAAGAAGAAATAGTTATAGCTTGATAATACACCAAAGAGAGAACGAAGTTGCTATATTGAAAGACATACTTTGCATTCTCTGTCCATTTACATGAACGTTGAATCTATTTCTGTTGGAAATCATTTTGGTTTAATGGCAGTCTTATATCCTAAAGGTTATTATCACAATATTAACGTCACTCACAACAAACATTTCAAATTCAACTTCCCAATCTGATGAACTAACTTTAACATTTGATGGCAAAGTAGTTAAATTTGATTTATGTTAAGAGGCGCTGAATGGCCTAAGTACCAATATGGGATTTTACAGTGAAGCATTTTATAGACATTTTATGACGAAAGTTTTGTGGTTTGGTATTTAGTTAAAAAACAAAGCGTTTTATATTATTAGGAACCAATTCTAAAACTTTGTATGGCGGATAGATGCAGGGGCTGCAGCCAACATCTTAGACAACACCATTTTCAATTTGACACGTTTGAAAACTGACTAATAGGTGTAGCCATACGCATGCAATGTTTATTCGTAACAAAATGTCTTTCCAGCCCTAACAGGCCACGTCAAGGCCGATGTGGAGGCAACACGTGGGGACAACGATAAAATAACTGATCTTCAAGATGTGGGTTTTAGCATCAGGCATCAAAATAAGAGCAAAACCAATTGCAAGGAAACGTGCGATGACGGAAGTGACCAGATGCTCCGCGAAGGAGAAAATTCTGACAGCAAAAAAGATGACGAAAACACTAACACCAGTTTACTATATGGCACCCTGCTGATTCTCAAAAGGCTCACATTTTGGTTGTTGATGTTGTGGCTTATATGTCTAGATACCATTATTGTCACGTACAAAGGCTGTTTTTACGCGATCATCAATTACTACGGAAATAATGTCAAAAGCACAGGTAATACATTTACGTGTATATATTTCATGCGGGTTTGCAATGTAATCATTAGTATTTATCCCATTCCCATTCTTTCACTGCAATTTGTTTTTATGACAGAATAGATTTCTTAATGTACGACGTTGTTACGATTGGAACTCTGTAGTTACGATTTTTTAAAAGAAAGATCCATCTTGTTTTAATTAAGAGGCAGAAAACCGTTTAGTTATGAAGCCAGAACCTATGAAGTATAACCTGTCAAGTTTAGCACTCAACAAAGGGCCTTGACCTTGAGCACGTCTGTCTCAGTCCGCCTCAACTGCGCGCTCCGGCGGGTAGGACGTTAATTAAGTCATCTTAAGTTCATTTTACCACCTTTACATGATCAAAGGACAATGAAAAAATTATTTCAGCGAATTCTAATTATGTTGTAGTAAGCACGTATACGGACTTGTATTCCTGGTCCCAAGTGGGTTCTCTGTTCTGGGCATTGCTGATCGGCTTGATGCTGGATAAACTCATGGCCAGGTCAAAGAAAGACGGTAATTAACGTAAAGGTGATTTTAAGAGTTCTATGGATTGATCGGTAATTCATTTATATTCCATGTAATATTTTGTTCACCCTTTCTATTTCTTATCTTCTGCTCATTTTGATTGGATCTGGCCCCAGTTTCTCAAAAAAAAAAAAAAAAACTTGAGTCAGGCTCCCTGGCTAAGAAATTAATTACCAAGGTTACAGGGTCACATTGGCACATATTACCCTATCAGGAGCAGTGTTACAGCACTCTCGTGGAAATCCTAGTCAACTAAGACCCCATTTCCAGAGATTAGATCGATCTACTTTAGATCGACCTAACTCCCTGGGGGTTCACGCTAAATAGCTGTCAGCCGGGCGGACACGAAAGTTAATTACCCCCTTACAGCTTGTAGTAGGCGGGACGGACATTTAAGCCGGATTATCTGACAGTAATCTAGTGAGACTCCCCGCGGGGATAGATCGATCTGAAAGCTCTGGGAATACAGCCTAAGCCAGAGAACTGACTTTCTTTTGTGAAACCGGGGCCTGAACTTAAATACTACCGGTTAGAATTGCAAGGTTTAAAATATCATTCCTTTTACACAGTATAGTATATATTATATTATTTACTATAATATGAATTAGGTATTATATGCATTTTATGGCTGTAGTTTACTAATTGTTTAAGATACTTTTGCTTTAGGTTTTAAAAAGCACAGATAAGAATCTCGGACAAATATTATTGTTCCAGACAAAGAACGATGCTTCATGGTTCCATTTTTCCTGACAGTATTGATAGGCATCGTTGTATCCATTCCGTGTATCATTCCAATTCTCGAGCTACAGTTTGTGTCTATTTTCTCTCAGTCTGTGTTACAAACAGGGACCTACGCCGTGCATATGGCATTTGTGGCCTCTGCGTAAGTACATACTGTATACTACATGTACATGTACTATTTTCTTTCCTTTTTAAAGATGTTATATATATATATATATATATATATATATATATATATATATATATATATATATATA